AACCACCCGCCAAACTAACTGGAAACTACATATACGAGCAAGATTTCACTGTAGCATAACTAATCGAACCATATGTTTGTTTGGTTTGTTACGGTTAAAGCCTCTCTTGGGTTAAAGTTCCCCACACTTAGGGTTTAGTTTTTTTTTTTTAATTTGCAAAAAAATGATCTTTTGATAAACTTTTAAGTATAGTTTGAATTGTTTGGCCTAACATATTTATTTGATGAATTTTTTAGTATCCAAAAAATATAAATTGTATTAGTATAAGTAATAAAAATATGACTGAAAATTTATTTTCTATGAAAACTAAATATTATTCAAAAATTGATCTTTTCAAGTTAGATATATAAAAAATCAAATCACGTACATATTTGTAAAGATTTCTAAATTTTACCAATAACACTCAAATAATCAGCTACCATTATTAATCATCAGCTTTATATTACCTACAAGCAAGTAATATTATGTGTTTGTGATCATGTAAGCGCATTATGCAAGCAACAATTTATGGGATATGGAGTGAGACAACTTGCGACTTCAGCCAGTAAATTCAAGACCTACGACGCTACTAATCCTTGATGTCCATTAAAAAATTCGAAGCAAGTTGGCAAGCCTAGACCGTTTTATTTCTAATACTATGTTTCTCTTGTGTATGATGTCTTACTCTTAGAAACTTATCTAGCATTCAGTTTCGTATTCTTCGATATTTTTCATCATATATCCTCATTCAGTTTCGTTTCGTCCTTCATTCTAATGGCCGACAGATAAGATGTGATTGTGTACAATTTGTTAAAGAAAAATGTATTTAATATATTATGATTTTATGTTTTGTTTAAATTTCAATATATTAATTAAGAGCATAATTTTATCTTCACAAATAATAATATTACGACAAAATAGTTTAGAAAAGATTACGAGAACAAATATGTTTTGGTCTTTTAAAAACAAAGTGTCCAAGCAAGTTCAAATTTCTGTATTCTTGAAAATTTAAAAAATAGTGGAATATTTTGTTATTTTGGAGTAAGTAATCACTCTTCTTGTGCCATTAAAAGTATATGGACAAAATAAATTTGGTTTAAAACGATGTTCATAGTGTAGGGTTCACGGTTTAGACGTTCATACTAGGGTTAACCATCCCTAATCAAAGAATTTGTGCTGGGTTACTAAAAGAAATCAAATTATACGTGTTTATATTTAGATTTCATAATAGAGTTTAGGGTTTAAAATGTATGTATCATTTCAATGTTTATACTTATTTGTGAGCGCTTAAACTTCCATATTAGAGTATAGTACTTATTTTTTAAAAATAACTAGATGAATACCCGCGCATACGTGCAAGTTTGTTTTATAAAAAACTTAAATAATTATCGATGCAATAATATGGTCATTTTTTCTAACTTTTTTTTAAAAATTCGTTGTTATAATCCTATAAACACAAGTTACGAACATACAAAAAGCAGCTGAAAAGAGTAGAAGGAAGTCCTTAAGACCTCTATTCCACAGTTAACGTACAACACTCTAGCTGCCATTTGTAAATGTAGAACGTCTGTCTTCCTTTCGTTTCCCATCATCCTTTATGCACTCTAATATATATTATTGATTTTCTATGTCTAAATTATTTTTTTTTGGATAAAAATTTGTGACATGTAGTTCACTATGTCTAAATGCTTACGCCTTTGATCTGAAATTCTTCTCATCTTTCTATCATCCTCATTGCCACTAATCATGTCGCTATCACCAGCACTCTAGCTATCATGGCTTGAGGGCGAACTACTTACATTATGTAAGCTATATATATGAAATGCAAATCTCTCTCAAGTATCTTCCTCCAATTGTTTTCGCTCTTCTTCTCCATGTTACCAATTTTTCTCTTTTCTCCTCTTTCTAGCTGATGTATTTTCTTTTTGGAAACATATGCATATGATTCATCCATTCTTGAGTCTAATGTCTTCGGAAGACATTAATGAACCATGAAGAAAAACAGAAGACGTGAGCAAAAACAATTATATTATAAGTAAAAGTAAGGAAAATAGAACTGGTTAGGCATTGTCTTGTTATAGACCGACTATAACATTGCACCATAGTGTACCCATTCGTAAATGAAATTTGTTCCTTAAAATTTCACCAAAGTTGGAAAGTACTAGACACTCATGCGCTTTGAGATTCAACCTTTCCATCAGACCTGTAACAAAAAGTGCAAAACGATTAGCAATGTACTAATCAAATATTGGTATCAAGATGAAGTCTAAAACGCTTAACAAATAAACAAATTAATAACCGACTTTGTGCAACCCAAAAAGTAAGTGAAAGTTATGTAGCTACCACCTCCAACTACTGAACCTTGGCAAAGGCGCTTGTCTTGGTCCTATTGCCAAAAACATAGTCCATGCCTGGTTCGAGCTTGATCTTAGGTGCAGTGATTAGTTTACACCATCATAAAATCGACAGAGAAGTGAATAAAGAATTAGGGCTTGCTTATGGCAAGCATTTTCCCTGAAGGTCTTTGAAAAACTAAAAGATGAACTCATAGTGAGATGGTGTTAAGCTCACCGAGAAGGACCAGAATCACGTTGATATTGGGAACTCGTAAATCTCGGTGTCTCATTTATTTCGGGCATTGCAAACAATCAACCTGCAACAAAAAAAACAAACGGTTTAATAATATGAACCTCAGTAAGTGAGCAGATTAAACAGAGATGAATCTAAAACCAAAATCTATATAGAAAGAAAATTAAAAATTGAAATCGGTCTACAACTTTGCATAAGCGTCTGTTGCTTTGATGGTACGTACCTAAACAAAACTGCAAAATCATAGACAAATGTGGAAGTTAATAAGATTAAATCCAAAGCACAAAGCGCATGAAGAAAGCGCAAGTCTAAGGGAAACATTATCATTTACACTCCAAACTGCACGTGTTTTGTTCC